GAGAGAGAGAGAGAGAGAGAGAGAGAGAGAGAGAGAGAGAGAGAGAGTTCAAGTGTACAAAATATACAATAATCGCATTATTTAAATGAATATTTTAAGGGTATATATTTGTAGCATATTGTGTTTGTGTAGTGAAGAGAAATCACATGCAAATATTTGGCCATTCGGGGCCCGTTCATACACGAACCCATCTCATAAGGCATTGCAGCTAAAATAGAGTGGAAGATATCAAAATGCTCTTCAGCTCTCTGGCTACAGATATTATTTGTCGAGATTCGAGAAACATTTTTCCCATCATACAATGAATGGCGCACACACAATTTTGTTAAATTAATAGATGAACGATAATATACAATACACACCGAATGGTGCTACATTCATTTTCAAGTGGTTTGCATGCATCTTAAGGAAAGTCATGCATCTTGAAGTGATGTTATGCTATGTTCGACCCACCGACCGGCATCCTTCAAACCAAAAACCGAATTTCTCGAAAATTGTTCGCTTGTACTCATCCATTTTGTTTTCTTTCATTTTGAAATGAGAAATTATCTCTTTCGAATGGTACACGCTCGTACTTACAAAACACATTCCATACATGCATTCACCCACATAAGGCAATGACAACATAACACGCTTCTACCTTTACCATTTCGGCCAAATATATTATTTATGAAATTGGTTGCTTCTAATGAACTCGCTTTATTTCATCCCATTTGCAAAATCATGCCGTTTAAACAAACAAACAAACAAATGTATAGAAGACGAAGAAAAAAATATATATGCTGAAGCATGTAAAGGGATTTGATAGCATTAAGCAATATATTTATAATATTGACAATTTAACTCCAGTCGCGATTGAATGGGATGAATGGGATGAAAGTGATGAAACAAGTGGTAATCAAGAGATTTCCCCCAACTTTCAAGATGCTACATTCCACATTGAATAAAAAGCATTTGGTTTGAACGCAGGGATTTTAAGTATCCATGTAACCGGAATTCCCCCTTGAAATCATCATAAACATCAACAGTACAGTGCAAACATTTTTAATCCTTGTATAAATGTAATATAACAAGACACTCAAATGAATGGCGTAAAAACCGCAATGTCACACATTTTTGAACTTAAATAAATGAATACAAATGTCACCAAATGTCATGCAAAAATTGCCACAACTCTTTATTGCTGTCGCAGAAGTTCAGCTACCAAAAACGATATGGAAAGACACAAAGTTGATTTAAAAAAAAAACCCTCACCCATTATAGTACGTATTTCCATTTTATAAATGATATTCAATAAATTACTCGCAAATCATCCCCGACGTGGGTTGCAGTCTTCACAAAATAGAAGAAGAAAAAAAAACACAACCATTGATACCACAAACAGTGTGCGCTCCAAACTCGCATCGAGCTGGAATGAGTTTGACTTTGCTGATCGTGCATCATTCTCGTGCGTATTGCGTAAAGTTAATGATAGCAATAGCTGAGCCACATTAACGATTTGATCGACTAATGGAGCGAAAAATTGAAAAGAGAAATTGAACATATTGAGTTTTAAAATTGAATAATAATAGTTCAATTCATCACAATGATTTGCAGTTTGGCTGATATTTTTCATGCGTAAATTTGCTCTCACGCAGACAGGAAAGATGTTCGTCGAAATTCATCTAAGATTGCCCAATCCAATGAACATGTCATAATTCCTTTAATTGATGAAATCCGGTCAAGCGAACACGTTTTTTTTTGCTCGACAAAAATTTTAATTTTAAAAATAAACGCAAAGCTGGAAATTGTGTTATTATGTGATTTAACTTTGTAAACGGAAAACATTACTTTATCAAAATCTCAAGTATGATGAGGGCAATTTTGCAAAGCAATTCAAAAACACAAACCATACATAAATGGCTCAAGGTTTCATTGGAGGTTTTTCTTCTTCATCAGATTGACGACGACGAACAGACTATTTACAATTTGGAGATTTTGACTTACACACTCACAAAAAGAGAGAGAGAGAGAGAGAGAGAGAGAGAGAGAGAGAGAGAGAGAGA